TGTGAAGCCATCTGGTCCTGGGCTTTTGTGTGTTGGAAGATTTTTAATCACAGTTTCAATTTCAGTGCTTGTGATTGGTCTGTTCATATTTTCTATTTCTTCCTGGTTCAGTCTCGGCAGTTGTGCATTTCTATGAATTTGTCCATTTCTTCCAGTTTGTCCATTTTATTGGCATAGAGTAGCTTGTAGTAATCTCTCATGATCCTTTATATTTCTGCAGTGTCAGTTGTTAGTTCTCCTTTTTCATTTCTAATTCTGTTGATTTGAGTCTTCTCCCTTTTTTTCTTGATGAGTCTGGCTAATGGTTTTTCAATTTTGTTTATCTTCTCAAAGAACCAGGGTTTAGTTTTATTGATCTTTGCTATCGTTTCCTTCATTTCTTTTTCATTTATTTCTGATCTGATCTTTATGATTTCTTTCCTTCTGCTAACTTTGGGGTGTTTTTGTTCTTCTTTATCTAATTGCTTTAGGTGCAAGTTTAGGTTGTTTATTCGAGATATTTCCTGTTTCTTAAGGTAGGATTGTATTGCTATAAACTTCCCTCTTAGAACTGCTTTTGCTGCATCCCATAGGTGTTGGGTCATCGTGTCTCCATTGTCATTTGTTTCTAGGTATTTTTTGATTTCCCCTTTGATTTCTGCAGTGATCACTTCCTTATTAAGTAGTGCATTGTTTAGCCTCCATGTGTTTGTATTTTGTTACAAATCTTTTCCTGTAATTGATATCTATTCTCATAGTGTTGTGGTTGGAAAAGATACTTGATACAATTTCAGTTTTCTTAAATTTACCAAGGCTTGATTTTTGACCCAAGATATGATCTATCCTGGAGAATGTTCCATGAGCACTTGAGAAAAATGTGTATTCTGTTGTTTTGGGATGGTATGTCCTATAAATATCAAATATCAAACAAGTCCATCTTGTTTAATGTATCATTTAAAGCTTGTGTTTCCTTATTTATTTTCATTTTGGATGATCTGTCTATTGGTGAAAGTGGGGTGTTAAAGTCCCCTACTATGAATGTGTAACTGTCGATTTCCCTTTTATGGCTGTTAGTATTTGCCTTATGTATTGAGGTGCTCCTATGTTGGGTGCATAAATATTTACAATTGTTATATCTTCTTCATGGATCGATCCCTTGATCAATTTGTAGTGTCCTTCTTTGTCTCTTCTAATAGTCTTTATTTTAAAGTCTATTTTGTCTGATATGAGAATTGTTATGCCAGCTTTCTTTTGGTTTCCACTTGCATGGAATATCTTTTTCCCTCCCCTCACTTTCAGTCTGTATGTGTCCCTAGGTCTGAAGTGGGTCTCTTGTAGGCAGCATATATATGGGTCTTGTTTTTTTATCCATTCAGCCAGTCTGTATCTTTTGGTGGGAGCATTTAATCCATTTACATTTAAGGTAATTATCGATATATACGTTCCTATTCCCATTTTCTTAATTGTTTTGGGTTTGTTATTGTAGGTCTTTTCCTTCTCTTGTGTTTCTTGCCTAGAGATGTTCCTTTAGCATTTGTTGTAAAGCTGGTTTGGTGGTGCTGAACTCTCTCAGCTTTTGCTTGTCTGTAAAGGTTTTAATTTCTCCATCAAATCTGAATGAGATCCTTGCTGGGTAGAGTAATCTTGGTTGTAGGTTTTTCTCCTTCATCACTTTCAATATGTCCTGCCAGTTCCTTCTGGCTTGCAGAGTTTCTGCTGAAAGATCAGCTGTTAACCTTATGGGGATTCCCTTGTGTGTTATTTGTTGTTTTTCCCTTGCTGCTTTTAATATGTTTTCTTTGTATTTAATTTTTGACAGTTTGATTAATATGTGTCTTGGCGTGTTTCTCCTTGGATTTATCCTCTATGGGACTCTCTGTGCTTCCTGGACTTGATTAACTATTTCCTTTCCCATATTAGGGAAGTTTTCAACTATAATCTCTTCAAATATTTTCTCAGTCCCTTTCTTTTTCTCTTCTTCTTCTGGAACCCCTATAATTCGAATGTTCATTCGTTTAATGTTTTCCCAGAGGTCTCTGAGACTGTCCTCAGTTCTTTTCATTCTTTTTTCTTTATTCTGCTCTGCAGTAGTTATTTCCACTATTTTATCTTCCAGGTCACTTATCCGTTCTTCTGCCTCAGTTATTCTGCTATTGATCCCTTCTAGAGTATTTTTAATTTCACTTATTGTGTTGTTCATCATTACTTGTTTACTCTTTAGTTCTTCTAGGTCCTTGTTAAATGTTTCTTGCATTTTCTCTATTCTGTTTCCAAGATTTTGGATCACCTTTACTATCATTTTTCTGAATTCTTTTTCAGGTAGACTGCCTATTTCCTCTTCATTTGTTAGGTCTGGTGGGTTTTTATCTTGCTCCTTCATCTGCCGTGTGTTTTTCTGTCTTGTCATTTTGCTTATCTTACTGTGTTTGGGGTCTCCTTTTTGCAGGCTGCAGGTTCGTAGTTCCCGTTGTTTTTGGTGTCTGTTTCCAGTGGCTAAAGTTGGTTCAGTGAGTTGTGTAGGCTTCCTGGTGGAGGAGACTAGTGCTTGTGTTCTGGTGGATGATGCTTGATCTTGTCTTTCTGGTGGGCAGGTCCATGTCTGCTGGTGTGTTTTGGGGTGTCTGTGGCCTTATTATGATTTTAGGCAGCCTCTCTGCTAATGGGTGGGGTTGTGTTCCTGTCTTGCTAGTTGTTTGGCATAGCGTGTCCAAGCACTGTAGCTTGCTGGTCGTTGAGTGAAGCTGGGTGTTGGTGTTGAGATGGAGATCTCTGGGAGATTTTTGCCATTTGATATTACGTGGAGCTGGGAGGTCTCTTGTGGACCAGTGTCCTGAAGTTGGCTCTCCCACCTCAGAGGCACAGCACTGACTCCTGGCTTCAGCACCAAGAGCCTTTCATCCACATGGCTCAGAATAAAAGGGAGAAAAAGCAGAAAGAAAGAATGAAGGAGGATAAAATAAAGTAAGAGAAAATAAAATAGTTATTAAAATAAAAAGTAAGAAATAATTATTAAGAAAAATTTTTTTAAAAAAGTAAAAACAAAACAAAACAAAGTGGATGGACAGAACCCTAGGACAAATGGTGAAAGCAAAGCTATACAGACAAAATCTCACACAGAAGCATACACATACACAGTCAGAAAAAGAGGAAAAGGGGAAAAAACAATATATCTTGCTCTCAAAGTCCACCTCCTCAATTTGGGATGATTCGCTGTCTATTCAGGTATTCCACCTATCCAGGGTACATCAAGTTGATTGTGGAGCTTTAATCCACTGCTCCTGAGGCTGCTTGGAAAAATTTCCCTTTTATTCTTCACATAGCATCCGGGCCTCAGCTCTGGATTTGGCCCCGCCTCTGCGTGTAGGTCACCAGAGGGCGTCTGTTCTTCGCTCAGAAAGAATGGGGTTAAAGGAGCCACTGATTCGGGGGCTGTGGCTCACTCAGGCCACGGGGAGGAAGGCCCATGGAGTGCGCGGCGAGCTTGCGGCGGCAGAGGCCAGCAGGACATTGCACCAGCCTGAGGCACACCGTGTGTTCTCCAGGGGAACTTGTGCCTGGATCCCCGGACACTGGCAGTGGCAGGCTGCACAGGCTTCCCAGAAGGGGGGTGTGGATAGTGACTTGTGCTCGTACAGAGGCTTCTTGGTGGTGGCAGCAGCAGCCTTAGCGTCTCATGCCCGTCTCTGGGGTCTGCACTGTTAGCCGCAGCTCGCATCCACCTCTGGAACTCCTTTAAGCAGCGCTCTTAATCCCCTCTCCCCACGCACCAGGAAACAAAGAGGGAAGAAAAAGTCTCTTGCCTCTTCGGCAGGTCCAGACTTTCCCCCAGACTCCGTCCCGGCTAGCCGTGGTGCACTAACCCCTTCAGGCTGTGTTCACGCAGCCAGTCCTCTCCCTGCACTCCGACCAAAGCCCGAGCCTCAGCTCCCAGCCCCCAGCCACCCCGGCGGTTGAGCATACAAGCCTCTCGGGCTGGTGAGTGCCGGTCGGCAGCGATCCTCTGTACAGGAATCTCTCTGCTTTGCCCTCCGCACCCTGTTGCTGCGCTCTCCTCCGAGGCTTTGAAGCTTCCCCCCTCCACCACCCGCAGTCTCCACCTGTGAAGGGGCTTCCTAGTGTGTGGAAACCTTTCCTCCTTCACAGCTCCCTCCCGCTGATGCGGGTCCAGTCCCTATTCTTTTGTCTCTGTTTATTCTTTTTTCATTTGCCCTACCCAGGTACGTGGGGAGTTTCTTGCCTTTTGGGAGGTCTGAGGTCTTCTGCCAGCGTTCAGTGGGTGTTCTGTAGGAGTTATTCCACGTGTAGATGTATTTCTGATGTATCTTTGGGGAGGAAGGTGATCTCTGCATTTTACTCTTCCGCAGTCTTCCCCCTCGTGTCTCTCCATTTTTATTTTTAAAAGATATTTTTGGTGAGTTAGCTGATATTATTTTTTTCTTCTCAGGGATATATTTTCCTGCTTCTTTGAGTGCCTGGTAATCGATTACTATATGGTAGACATTGTAAATTTTATAGATTTTGACCACTTGAGTATATTGTGTTCCTTTAAATATTTGGGGGCTTTGTTCTTATACATTGTCAAGTAAACTTGGAAACAATTTGATTCTTTTGAGACTTGCTTCTAAGATTTGTTAGATGGGTCCAGAATGACTTTTAGTGTAATCTGTACAAGTCAGTTTCTTTAGGGGAGAAAGAAAGGTTGAGAATGGTATAGAGTGGGTCTAGTGGGTCATATTAAATTTATCTCATATATAAGAGTAAATGCTGATTTTCATATCTCATGTTCCAAAAGATTATGATTTCCTTGTGGTCAAAGAGAACCTGTCTTTTCCCGTTTATATCCCAGAAATTAACAGTGTCTAGCAGGCATTTATTATGTATTTGCTTTCTATGTATTTTAAAAAATATACTGTAATATTTCATCTTATTTTTAAAGTAACATGTAGTTACTTTAGTAGTGATAGCAGTCTTAAAAATGACTGTATACTTCTTTAGTAAGTCTAAGTATTTCATCAACTTACATTTGCTGCATCCATTCTATTTTTCTAATTTTTCTTTTCTTTTCTATATCTTGCCTTCTCTTTAATTTAGAGAAATGGAATTCACTTTCCTTTTTGTCTCCCACCATTACATTTTCAGTAGACTTCCAAAACTATTGAGAAATGAAAAATGAATACACAAAATATTGGATTACTGATTATGAAGTTATCTGACTATAGAAAAGAACTTCTATGTGTTCAGTAGGAATATGCCAAGATAGAAATAGAGGAGAGGATAGACCCTTTTAAGATATTTCTAATTAAGTGAATGGCACATTGAACCTTAAGAGGCATATGCCATAGGAAAATTAGTGTACTGAGGTACTATTTAATAAGTATTTGTTGAATGAATAAATGAATAGACATATTCTAAGAGTGTTTTAGTTTCTCATAAGAACAGATCTGACCAGCAGGTGCTATTGACTTTTGAAGACTCTAATCCTCAAGGAATATGGGCACACTCAAAGAATACAGAAATCTCACCATTGTGTCCCAAGACTTTGTGGTTTCTCCTGTTTGACACTTTATACTGATTGCCTGTTTTCCTATTTCCAATTCATTCTTCCTCCCTCACCACATACACATTAAATAACAAAGAGGAAAGTTTGTTACCCCCCACAGCACTCTGAACTTGCCTCTATTAAATCACATATTCACTGCACTGTACTGAAATATCCTGTTTACTTGACTTTCTCCTTAATTAAAAGCAAACTACTTGAGAGGAAGGACTATTCTTATGTACTATTGCTTCCCAAGCATCTAGTACAATGCCTGACATCTGGCTGGTATGCAATAAAGTTTGTTGAATGAATGAATGAATTCACACTTTGATCATTTTCACTTTTCATACTTAGTATATTCAGTATACTACATTCTACAATCTGTATACCAGAGACTGAGGATTTGAATGAAGATACTTGCAGCTATATAAACAAATATCCAGAGCTATAGAACCAGATAATGTTAACTTTAAAAATATAAGCTTACAAATATCCTTAGATAGAAATTATTTCCACAAAAAGATTAAACATGGGTGTCTATAGAAAAGTCCTAGAATCACATATATGCATTAGGAACTATATATATTTAAAATCATTCTGTTCATGTGAGCACATGTTAAATTTTCCAACATCATGAAAACCCAAATGATCTCCCACTAGTGTCGGCTGTTACAAGCTCTATAGAGAAAATGGCATATTATTCTCAAGAACCCTCACCACTTGTTCAAGGATTAATATAGAATCAACAACATCTTCAGATTTGCTTTGTTATAAAGATGGGTAATAGCTGAATGCCACAGAGTATCTAAAGATAGCCTAGATTCAAAGATGACTATTAAAAGTAGAAGTAAATGTAAAAAAAAAAAAGATATATTGCTGTATCTTGAAGTATATTAGTAACCACAGAATAGTTAAGTAAATTTTATCAGTTAAATTAGTAGGATTCATTATTTTTAAAAATAATCTAAAAATTAATTTTCAGAAAGACAGATAGGTTTGTAAGCACATAATATTCAAAATTATCAATGTTTATCTTTTCTTACTTTATCAGAAACAGGCCTCCAGCCATTGTTCTCTGTACGACGATACCAGCCACTATAATCCTCTTCCTGAAGATTATCACTTTTAATATGAGATGTATGTTTTGCTGGAAGTTTTGTGTAATCTCTAGGGCTATTAGCACACAGATCTTCAATATGTCTGTGAGTGAAAATTTTATAGTATATTTCAGGTGGAAATTTAACCTATAGTTGGAAAAGTTCAAAGGACCGTTTCAATTTAATTAGAAAAATGGTTTATGTTTTTTAAAATTACATCTTTTAAATTTCATGTAAATGTGCTTTAAAAGTACTAAATAAGAATTTATCCATACTTACACCACCTAATCTGAATCGTACATTAATGCCAGCAGCAGCATCTAGAAGTTCTGCCTATAAAAAAAAAAATTAGTCTTCAACATTCTGTATATATCAGTTCACAACTTCTCACTCTATAATGTTAAACAGTTGTTGAATATTGATTATTTATGAAATAGATGAAGTGAATAAACTTCAAATAGTTAATTTTAAATCAGAAAGTATCTTAGGATTTATTTTCTTATAGACCCTCAATAAGTAAAACAGCTTACATTATAACTGGGAAAATGATACCAAACTATGTTTCCTTTCTATGTAATGTAAAAGTGTAAAAGTCAGGTGATTTGTTAGTCATAAAACAGAAGTTTTAAAAAAATTCCTCAAATATATGATTTTCATATTAAATATCTTCCAGGTAAATTCAGAGAAAAAAATGTGACTGGTGAATCTGAGTTAAACAACAGATGACCTTTCCTAGCTAGCTTTTATTAAATCAAAAATCCATGTTTAAATTTTGTAAGAATTGTATATAATTGGTCTTCTAAATTTTAGTGCCCCACACCAAATGGAAAGTAGAGAAAAAATTATTGGTCCCCAACCTGTCTCCTGATTATACTGAGTTAGATGAGAAAACAGATGTTACCCTAAATTGTTCAGCCTGAAAGACAACATTAGTTTTGCATAATTTTCTCCTGGCTAAAAATTACACACACACACACACACACACACACACACACACACACACACACACACATACAAACACACGGTCCCGGACTTATGATGGTTTGACTTACAATTTTTCATTTTTATGATGGTGCAAAAGTGGTACATATTCAGTAGAAACCATACTACTAATTTTGAATTTTGATCTTTCCCCAGGCTAGTGATACACTGTATGATACTCACTCTGTCCTGTGATGCTGGGTAGCAGCAATGAGAGAGACAGAGAACACAAAATACTAATATCAGAAATGAAAGACGGGTCATCACTACTGATTCCGTGGACACTAAAATGATAATGAACAAATATTATGAATAATGCTATGCTCACAAATTTGATAACCTAAATAAAATGGATTGATTCCTTGAAAGATAAAACCTACCAAACCTCACATAAGGAGAAATAGACAATATGAATAGATCGATAGCTATTAAAGAAATTTAATGAATAATTCACCTTTCAAAGTAGAAAACACCAGACCCAGATTTGTCCACTGGTTAATTCTATCAAACATTTAAGGAAGACAGCATAGTGGAAATCACCCAAGCTGAACAGAGAAAAGAAAAAAGAATTTTAAAAATGAGGATAGCTTAGGAGACTTCTAGGACAACATGAAGCATACTAACATTTGCATTATAGGGGGTCCCAGAAGGAGAAAAAAGAGAGAAACCAGCAGAGAATTTATTTAAGGAAGTAATATTTGAAAACTTCCCTAACCTGGAGGAGGAAACAGTCATCCAGGTCCAGGAAGCATAGAGAGTCCAAAACAAGATAAACCCCAAGAGGTCCACAACAAGACACATTATAACTAAAATAGAAAAAATTAAGGATAAAAGAGAATCTTAAAAACAGCAAGGGAAAACCCACTAGGGGTTAAGGGAAAACTCCCATAAGACTATCAGCTGACTTTTCAGCAGAAACTTTGCAGGCCAGAAGGGTGTGGCAGAATATATTCAAAGTAATAAATGGAAAAAAACCTACAACCAAAATTACTCCACCTGGCAAGGCTATCATTCAGATTTGAAGTAGGTATAGAGGTTACAGACAAGCAAAGGTAAAAGAGCTCAGCACCACTAAACCAACTTTACAAGAAATGTTAGAGGGACTTCTCTAAGTGGAAAAGAAAAGACCACAACCAAAAATATAAAAATTATGAAAGGAAAAATCCAAACACACAGTAAAGCTAGTAGATCAACCATGTATAAATGCACAATAAAGGTAGTAGATCAACCATGTATATAAGACAAAAGTAGTAAAATATCTAAATTCACAATAAGGAGTTAAGGGATTCAAAAAACAAAAAGATGTAAAATATATCAAAACCATGAAACATGGTAGCAGAAGTACAAATGCAGGTTTGTTAGAATGCTTTCAAACTTAAGGGATCTTCAAATTAAAAAAACATACATGTAGACACACACACCTCATGGTAATCACAAACCAAAAACCTATAATAGATACACACACAAAAAAGGAGAAAGAAAGCCAAAAAAACATAAAGATAGCCATCAAATCACAAAGGAGGAGGGCAAAAGAAGAAAGGGAAAAAAAAAGAACTTCAAAAACTACCAGAAAACAGTGAACAAATGGTAATAAATACATATTTATCAATAATTACTTTAGGGACTTCCCTGGTGGTCCAGTGGTAAACAATCTGCCTTACAATGCAGGGGACTCTGGTTCGATCCCTGGTCAGGGAACTAAGATCCCACATGCCATGGGGCAACTGAGCATGCATGCCAAAACTACTGAGCTCATGCACCTCAACTAGAGAGCCTGCGTGCCACAAACTACAAAGCCCATGCACTCTGGAGCCCATGCATCACAGCTAGAAAAGAGAAAACTCTCACGCTACAACTAGAGAGAAACCCACATGCCTCAATGAAGATCCCACATGCTGCAACTAAGACCTGACTCAGCCAAAAAATAAAATTTAAAAAAATTTTAAAAATAATTACTTTAAATGTAAATGGAATATTACTCAGCCATAAAAAGAATGAAATTGGGCCATTTATAGAGATGTGGATGGGCCTAGAGTCTGTCATACAGAGTGAAGTAAGTCAGAAAGAGAAAAACAAATATTGTATATTAACACATATATGTGGAATCTAAAAAAATGGTACAGATGAACCTCTTTGTAGGGCAGCAATAGAGATGCAGACGTAGAGAATGGGCAGGTGGACATGGTGGGGAAGGGGAGGGTGGGATGAATTGGGAGATTAGGATTGACATATATACACTACTATGTGTAAAATAGCTAGCTAGTGGGAACCTGTTATCTTTCCTTGTTATAGCATGAGGAGGTCAGCTCAGTGCTCTGTGATGACCTAGATGGGTTGGATGGGGGGTGGGTGGGAAGGAGGTCCAAGAGGGAGGGCTATACATATAGCTGATTCACCTCAGTGTACAGCAGAAAATAACACAACATTGTAAAGCAGTTATACTTCAATTTAAAAAAATCTGTATAGGAGAGGAAATTTCCACCTCAAAGGTGGGGTAGTCCACAAACATAGGAAGATGCACAGAAGTTGGGCAGTAAAAAGTGGGAAAATAAAATGCCCACCTGTGAGAAAAAAATATATATATATGGACACAGATATACACAACTCATGGTAATCACAAACCAAAAATAATATATACACACACAAAAAAAGGAGAAAGGAACCCAAAATAACATAACGATAGCCATCAAGTCACAAGGGAAGAGAGCAAAAGAAGAAAGGAGCAAAAAAGAACTACAAAAGCAAACAGCAAATGATGAACAAATGGTAATAAATACATATTTATTAATAATTACTTTAAATGTAAATAGACTAAATGCTCCAATTGAAAGATATATGGTGGCTGAATGGATACAAAAACAAGACTCTACAAGAGACCCACTTCAGATCTAGGGACACATACAGACTGAAAGTGAGGAGATGGAAAAGGTATTCCATTCAAATGGAAATCAAAAGAAAGCCAGGTAGCAATACTTAGACTAAATAGACTTTAAAACAAGGACTGTAACAAGAGACAAGGAAGGACAGTGCATAATGATGAAGAGATCCATCCAAAAAGAAGATAAAACAATTGTAGGAACACTTAAATATATAAAGCAAATAATAACAGACATAAAGGGAGAAATTGACAGTAACACAATAACAGTAGGGGACTTTAACACCCCATTTACATCAAAGATAGATCATCCAGACAGAAGATCAATATGAAAACACTGACCTTAAATGACACATTAAACCAGATGGAGTTAATAGATACATAGAGTACATTCCATCCAAAAGTAGCTGAATACACATTCTTTTCAAGTGCATGTGGAACGTTCTCCAGGATAGATCACATGCTAGGCCACAAAACAATTGTCAATAAATTTAATAAGATTGAAATCATATCAAACATCTTTCCAATCACAACATTATGAGAAAAAACTGCAAAAAACACAAACATGGGAAGGCTAAAGAATATGCTACTAAACAACTAATGGATCAGTGAAGAAATCAAAGAGGAAATCAAAAAAATACCTAGAGACAAATGAGAATGAAAACACAATGACCCAAAACCTATGGGACACAGCAAAAGCAGCTCTAAGAGGGAAATTTATAGAGGTACAATCCTTCCCTAGAACATGAGAAAAATCTCAAACAATCTAACCTTACATCTAAAAGAACTAGAAAAAGAAGAACAAAACCCAAAGTTAATAGAAGGAAAGAAATCATAAAGATCAGAGAAGAAATTAATGAAATAAAGACCAAAAAATAAAAACATGAAAGATTAATGAAACTAAGAGGTGGTTCTTTGAAAAGATAAACAAAATTGATAAAACTTTATCCAGATTCATCAAGAAAAAAAGAGAAAGGGCTCAAATATATAAAATCAGAAATGAAAGAAGTTACAACTGATACCACTGAAACACAAAGGCTCATAAGAGATTACTACAAACAACTATGCACCAATAATATGGACAACTTAGAAGAAATAAATTCCCAGAAACATACAGTATCCCAAGAATGAATCAGGAAGAAATAGAAAATATGTACAGACCAATTACCAGTGATGAAATTGAATCAGTAATTTAAAAACCCCCAACAAACAAAAGTTCAGGGCCAGACAGCTTCACAGGTGAATTCTGCCAAACAGTTAGAGAAAGGTTATCTTTGATCATTCTCAAACTACTCCAAAATGAAAGAGAAGAGGATAGAATGCTTCCAAACTCATTCTATGAAGCCAATATCATTCTGATACTTAAACCAAACAAAGACACCACATAAAAAGAAAATTACAGGCCAATATCATTGATAAATACAGATGCAAAAATCCTCAACAAAATATTAGCAAACTGAATTCAACAATACATTAA